CACGCTGTCTGGCCTTGGGCAGGTGCACTTCCTCTGTGCCTCAGTTTCTTCAGCTAGAAGAACTGTTCCAGGCAAAGCACCTAGAGCACTGCCTGGCAAGTGATGAGGGCCAAGGAATCTTAGCTTCTTATTTTCCATTTCATGGAATTAGTATTGGAACCCACCTAAAATTGTCATAGCAGTAAATGGTATATGACATTCAACTGACTGACATTCTTGTTGTCTCTATATGCTTAGGGTAACAATATTAAATACATGCAACTAGTTGTATTAAGAGGCAAACTAAATCTTAAAAGTGCTTTCAGGGTGGCGTCTGTGGCTCAAAGGAGCAGGGCGCTGGCCATATGCTTCCATATGCCCCAGGTGGCGGGTTCCAACCCAGCCCCGGCCAAAAACTGCAAAAAATAAATAAATAAATAAAAGTGCTTTCACCAGTTGATTCAGGAAGGTTGACTCAGGTACCATGATTCTTAATTCTTCCTTTGTGCAGCATCTGCCTGGACTCTGTTTCATAAATTCTTGTTTAGTATTTGTAAGGAACATTAGCAACCTGCGAGTATGAGATAAATGTTTGTAAAACTGGAAATTTGTGGTACCTAATGTAAATTTAATAAAACCACTCACAGAGGGCTGATAAAAGCTAACACTGAGTTGTTTTTTTTTCCAATTCAGTCAGTAAAATACTTGTAGATAACCTGGAAAATATAAAAGAAAATTAAAGTAATCCTTACTCTCATTATCGATCTTTCTGTCCCCATATGCAGGTACAATTTTGACATTAGTTTCTAGTTTACTCTGAAACTATGGTTTGTATTATTTTAATGCTTTTATATGTACTAAGGCTTCTCTGATAGCCTACAATAGATCTATCTTGATGAATATTCCATGCAAACCTGAAATGAGAGGTTTGTGGTGTTGTTGTTGTTGTGTGGCATAGTGTTATGTACACACGAGTTAGATAAATTATATCAATTACATTGTTCAGTGCTACAGTTGACCTTTGAACAATACAGCGATGAAGAGTACCAGCAACCTGTACAGTAAAAACCCATGTGTAACTTAGGCTTCCCCCAAATTTAACTACTAATAGCCTTACTGATAACATGAACAGTCAACTAACACCTATTTCGTATGTTGCACGTATTATATATTGTATTCTTACAATAAAATAAGCTAGATAAAAGATAAAAAAATCTAAAAAAAAAAAAAAGAAAATTAAAATATATAACCCTTAATTCCACTACCCAGACATAATAATGAACCTTTTACCCTATTTCTTTCCAGTCCTCTGTAGGTTGTAAACAAATTAAGACCACACCACCTAATCTGATACACTGCTTTGGTCTGAAATCATGTTTTCCAGTGTCATTTAATGACATTGAGTCTGTTGTGACTATATCACACACAATCCTCACAGTTGTCCAATTAACATTCCATTTACCCATTTTTATACCAGAAATAATAAAACTACAAAGAATCTCCGTACATAAGTCTTTGTTTAGATTGGAAACCATTGCTTTAAGTTTTCTAGATGGCAAATTATCAGACAAATATAGGGACTTGAAAATCCATGAGTTTAGGTTTTCTTTCAGCTATCAGACTGCATGTGAATTAAGCTTCTCCTGAAGGTCAAGTCCTTTCTCTGTGTCTATCACTGCACCTGGTCCTCTGGAGGGAAGTGAGGAGAAAGAGGCTTCTGCCAGAAGGACCTGCCATTTCAGTACTAACCGACTTTCTTCCCTAGAGTGCTGTCCATGAT